TTAAATCAATTACACTAATTTTTGTCATTAACTTAATATCGGATTTACATAACACAAATTTGGATTTCCCTCATCCGAGTTTAGTGGAGTTCGGATTTCAGAAATCCGAATTTATCCATGATTCGGATTTCTGAAATCCGTGACATATAAGTTTGTCCACAAAATTTTTGAAAGGTTTATTTTTTTCCAGGTATATTTAAGGAAATATATTTAAGGAAAAAATTCGCTCTAAGGGCTGAGGGTCACGGAGGACTAGATTGGTGTTTTTTAGTACTTCCTTCAGCCCTTATTATAAAATTTTGATTTGTTCTAAATTTCACCTAATATGTTTTTTCATTTAAAAACTTTAAACATATCTTATAATCATTGGGAGAACACAATAAATGTGAAAAATACATTTTTAAGATTTTATTTTTAATCACAAAAACATACTATGTGAAATTTAAGACAAATAAAAAAAAATTAATAAGGACCAAAGAAGTATTATTTTCTTTTTTAAGAAATCCATTTTTATTTTTTATTTTTTTGCCCTTTTTTCCAAAAGATGATATCACATCTGTCGTCATCTCCTGATGCCCAAATGTTTTTTTGCGAGGACGACCGAAGACTTTTCCAGGAAAAAAAGAAGAAAAAGAAAAAACAAAAGCAAACAAACAGAAAAAACAACAAAAAGCCGCCTCCCCGCCCACCCCCACCGCACGCCTAATTTCTTCATTCCCCGATCCTTTTCCTCATTCTACCATAGAGAGAACCTATTTTGCTTTGTATCTAAGCTTCCAAGAAAAAGGACTCATCTCCGATCTCACCGACGCCCCCAAAAATTACAGCTCTTGTTTTATTCTATCCCTGTCTTTTAATTCATTTTTCCTTTATCGATCGATATCATCGATCCCTTATCTTCTTCAATTCTTTTGTTTCTTCTTCCAATTTTGAAAGGGAAAAAAAGAAAGAAAATTGAATTAATTTATTTCATAAATGGCTTTTCGAACCAACGATGATCATCGGAATTTCGATTACTCCGATAATAATCCAAAAGCAGCAGCTGCCGTATTCAACCGATCCTTGACTGTTCATAATTACAACACAAACCCACCATTGTTATCCCCGTATGAATACACCACCACCAAAACCCTCCCTCTCGAACGAATCGGCTCCGTTAAGAGGACCAATTATTCCTCCCCTTTTGGTTCCATGGTTTCTGCTGGGAATTCTTTAAGGGGTAAGGTTAAGAAGCTCTGTTCCATATTCGAAAAGCCCCCTTCCAATTCTGCTAATTTGCAATCCCCGCCTTCCTCCCCCAAACCCTCAAAAGTTTCCAATTCTGATTCCAGCCTTACCACCACCTCCTCTGGTTCTTTCCCCTTCCGGCTGCCTGGTACGGAGGACAGAGTCGTCATTTATTTCACCAGCCTCCGTGGGATTCGCAAAACCTACGCTGATTGCTACGCGGTCCGAATGATTTTTAAGGGATTTCGTGTGAATTTGGATGAGCGAGACATATCCATGGACAGCGCGTATAAGAAGGAATTACAGAGCCTTATTGGGGAGAAAGTCCTGACCTTGCCTCAGGTGTTCATCAAGGGTAAGTACATTGGGGGAGCTGATGTCGTGAGGCAGCTCAACGAAGCTGGTGAGCTGCGGAGAATGCTCAGCGGGGTGCCTATCCGGGTTTCTAAACCCGGGTTGGGGTACGTTTGTGAAGCTTGTGGAGATGTTAGGTTTGTGCCCTGCTCGAATTGCAATGGGAGTCGTAAAGTGTTTGATGAAGACGACGAGCAGCTCAAACGGTGCCTGGAGTGCAATGAGAACGGTTTGGTTCGTTGCCCTGGCTGTTGTTATTGAGTTTGCCTAGGCTAGTAATTTTGTCTTTGTGGTGTGGTGTCTGGTGTGGGTTTTTTAATCCTCGATTGATTGAGATATACTGAATCTCTTGTGTGTTTGTGTATATAAGAGTGTGAAAAATGGTTGTAATCTAATGTATATGGTTGTGAATTTCCTTCACGCGTGAAGGGTTTCACGTATGGATTCATGCTTTATATAAGAGTGACTTTCACTATAATGCACAACACAATGATGGTGAATTTCACTATAGTGCACAGCACTTGATGTGCAAGGATATGTTGTAACTCAACATGAAATTGCCATTAGTAAGAAGACGATATTTTGGTATAGTTTTTGCTCTCTAGTTACTACCATCTGGAAGTGTTCAACACAATGATGTTGTAGCATATTTTACGGCATTTCCGAGGTTCCTTTTCTTGTTTGTGCTTCTTTGTTTTGCTAGAATTGCAGGATATTTTAACTTCTTTGAAACATAGAAACTCTTTAGTGTTGTGCTATGTTTTTTTTTTGTGTCTGCTGTTGTTTGTATATCTTCAAGCATAGAAAATCTAAAAGGTAGACACTCTGTTCTTTGTTAATATTTTCTATGCCCTTATGTGCATTATTAAAAAATTGGGCAAAAAACATACAACATAAATGCGAAATTAGGTACAAAACAGTCTCTCAGTTTCTTGTTATTATATCATTAGTTTGCTTGTTTGTTTTTGTTCTTGTACTCATTGATCTTCTTTGTGGTTTAAAAAAATCCTCAATTTTACTCATCATCATTGCCATACTATGTAAACATAAAACTCCTGCACAGTATAGTACTACCTCCGTCCCAAAAAAATAGTTCATATTGAGTTTTTAAATTTCTACTAAAAACAGTACAAAACTTAAAACTCAAAGTGGACTATTTTTTTGAGATGGAAGTAGGATCAGTTGATATGATAGTCGAATATGACAACTTTTTTTCTTCTTTGTTCTTCCTAGTTTTTCGTTCTTTCTTTTTCGTTTTATCATGCTAGTGCAAGCAAACTCTGTTAATGGCGCCTGCAACAATTTGTATGATCATATGAAGATGGTATTTCCTTTGGGAGTGTCCCATCCAACGAACCTGGTAATTGAATAGCTAGGGCTTGCTAGCCTAAGATGAGTCTAGTGAGAAATAAGGAATGAAAATGATAGGACTAAATGAACTACCAATATGTGTACTCATATGAAGAGATCTTGATGTATCTGGATGACTTCTTGTGATCTATTGAGTTTTCTTATCCTTGCTTCTTTGGATGTGTAGTGCAGTTTGTGTGATCATTAGACTTTCGTCTGTATTTGACATTAAAACTAAAAACGAGGGGGGGGGAAAAAAACTAGCTCGAAAACCTGCACAATGCGTTTGTTACTTGCACACATGTATGCCTTTACAAACTGAGTTTGAACTTTAAGTCAAGAGTGTGAGTGCTGTCATTGGTCGAAGCAGATCAGCTGGTTTGATCTCTATTCCAGGTACCCAAAAGAGGAAGCGAGGCTCTGGGTTGGGCTTCTTATCGCAAAAGAGTAAACTTCTGGTCGAGTCCAATTTCCATCATAAGTAAACATTTGATGGTGGAATACAATTTCCATCATTATCTTCATAATCTCAAAAAGATTGGACAGATTTTACACGTAATTTCGATAATTCCCTAAAAACTGCAGGACAGCGGAAGTTGGAACAGCATGAAGTGTAAGTGTCAAAAGTCCAAATTCTTATGAAAGAAATCTTTCCACAAAGGAATTTGAAACGAAAATAAGCAATAGTTTGTGCTCATAAAATTTCTTAATTGTGTTTATGAATTTGACTCGCTGGACAATGATTTCTTCAATTTTCATTAACTTGCTGGGGGCTTTGGGGATGCAGAGAACATCTTTCAAACGCATTACTACATTTGCAAATTGAGCTAAAATATGGGCAAAGAAAGACATCATTTCGAAGATGACCCCCTTGGTCATGAAAGCTAGGCCCCTATGATATCCAAGGTAGTCAAATCATTTTCCTCCAAATCTAGGAGGTACAATTATTGAATTGTTTTTTGGAGTTTAGAAATTACTCACTTGTAGTTTATTTTTTACAATTTTACCCTTAAATTATTTTCTTCCTTCTTTCTTTTTTCTCCTTCCGCCTCTCTTCTTATTTTTTCTCTTTTATTCTTTCTTCTTCTCCTTCTTCCTCTCTTCTTCTTCTTCAAATCTAGATCTATTAATAATTGGACACCAAAAACATGGCAAAATGCGCCAGGAAACAATGAGAAAGCTCACCATCAATGCTGGTAATTTTTTTTTCCAAATTCTTTTTAAAAAAAAAGTTTAAAAAAAGGGACTGCCCAGGCTGGCCGACCCGAACGGTGGCCAACCCGGGAACCTTGGCCGGATTTCTCACCAGCCAAGGGATGTGAATAGGCTTGGTCGAGCCTTTCTTTAAGGATTGGCCTGGTCAGGTCCACGTCCCTTGGCCGGTGAGAAATCCGGCCAAGGTTCACGGACCGGCCACCGTTTGGGTTGGCCAACCTGGGCAGTTTTTTTTTTTAATTTTTTTTGTTGTAATTTTTTAATAATTATTTTAGTTAAATTATTTATAATTAATATAATTAGTTATTGAATTTTGTGTTACTAGTTGTAATTAATTTAATTAAATTTGTATTAATTTATAATGAAAGGGAGAAATTTAATTAGTTTTGTAATTAATTTAATTATATTCCATTAAAAATGTATAAATTCAATATGTATAATTAATTTAATTTTAATTTATTTTAATATATATTTGAATCTTTATTTTAATAGAATAGGTATATATAATATTTAATGATGGACAAATTAATTAGATATAATTGATTTTATTTTAATTTCTATTTGAATAATTATTGTAATGGAATATTTATATAATATTTAATATAGGTTAAAAAGATAAATTAATTAGGTATAATTTATTTAATTAAATTTATTTTAATTTCTATTTTAGTTATTGTAGTGGAGTAGTTATATATATTTATTAATGTAGGTTCAAAGGATAAAAAAAAAGGCCAGATGTACCTGATTCTTCATTGTTGCTTGAGTCGGGTATACGGGACATGCATGGTCGAGTTATTTTTGCCTCATATCGTCGTGGAAGTCCAACTGGGCATAAGTCAAAGGGTGAGTCGTAGATGGGTCAGGCCGGTAGTAGTGTGGGACTTGACGATGTATTTGATCATGCCAGTTTGGACTTACAGAATGTGAGTGACAATGGTGATGTTCCGACTAAAGATATCGATTCGGAAGGGTTTAATGATTTCGGAGGTGACTCACCTCCACATTCACCTCCAGTTAGACGAAGCAATATTATTCGTCTTAGGGTTAAAGGACTTGGAGCTGCATCTGCATCAGTATTTGCATCTGCAACTTCATCTGCATCATCATCAGCAGGTAAGAAATTAGTGGATGGGCTTTATATTTTACATTTTAGTAAAGTTTTTTTTCAAATATTTTATCGGAAAAAAATTGAATGATTTTGTTTACGTTAATTTCAGCAAGTAACGCCCAGTCTTGGGTTGTCACGAGACCAGTTGTTGGTGGCCCTTATGACGGTTCTGTTATTCCCAATTTTCTTGGTCATGTGGCCCATCGCATGACGGATAAGTCGTACAAACCCTCCTTGAAGATGGATACAAGAGTCACATACTTCAAGTTGTTGAAAGAATGGAAGGGTTCTATGTCGACTGAGGCTCGGATCTTGTTGGCTGGTCTAGGGTTATCCCACATCGTGGACATTATGCACACCAACATTGATAACGCATTGATTACAACATTTGTAGAGACCATCATGTTTCACGTTTCACATGCCTTTTGGGGAGATGACCATCATGTTACACGATGTGTGACAGATATAGGGTATTCCTGTTGAAGGTAGATTGATTACAACACAACCTGGGACTTGCGATCATAAGACTTTGGTTATGAGGGCGCTGAGAATGACTAGCCAGACTTTGGTAAGACTGTCGATTCTGTCACTATGGCATACGGGTGCACCTCTCATCCAATCATATCCCGAAGATGCTGACATGCCCAAATATAACTTTCCTTCTTCTCATCCTTTATAACTACGTATCCAATCAGAAAATTGTTGTTGGTTAGAGTCAGCCCAATAATTTGTAACAGCGGCATATTATACATGTTTGTTCTATAAGTAGTATCCATGCCAAAATACTACGGGTATGCTCGGATCAACTCTACAGATACTGGATGTGCACAAGAAAATATGACTCAACACATCTTTTTCATTAGCCGTAGTAATCACATACTTGTGTTGCTGAGTAATGTCAAAGAAGTGATCCACCAACGTTTTATCATTCTTCTTTTTCACTTGCATCCTACTTTTATAGTTGTATATCTGTTTGATCAAAACGTGCTCGTCCGGACATTTCTGCTGAATCGCCCACAGCATTGCAGACGGTTTTAAATTAATGGCAGTCAACCCGTCAACAATCGCCTTCGATTTATCACTAAGGCCACTCATCTGCATCTGTCCATCCTTGAAGCTACCAAACAGGTGATTATGCATACGATTACGACCGGGACAAGAACGAATCCCAAAAATAGATTCGCCTGGGTGAATTTGGCTAGAAGTCGGAACGGGCATCCACAATACTGTACCTTTATGGACATCGTAATAATTTCTTAGTTTCATCTGTCTTCGATGCCTTAATCACTGTGAAAGTAAGAGATATCGCATTCTTTTTCGCCCATAGCAAGCGGCTTCAATAGTTGCGAATCTTATGTTATTATTAAAATGATGACTGTAATCAACACCGTCACCACCATAATCCTGTAAATGAAATATATCAAATTTAAAAAAATACAATATACATAAAAAAAAATAACTAATTCATTTATGTAAACAATAATTAATTATTAAAGCCTAAAAATTAATACTAACTAAATACCACGTACAATTATAAATTTAATTAAATTAAACAAATATATACCACATACCTAATCTACACTAATTATTAAATTAAACAAGTTATACCTAATAAATTAAATTAAACATGTTACTAAAGCACAAAAAAATTAAATGACATATAAAAAATAATAACACAACATTCAACAACTAATTACATTAATTATATATAAATTTAACTAAATTAATCAAACAATAATACAACAACTAATTACATTAATTATAAATAAATTTAACTAAATTAATTATAACAACAAAATTACAACAAAAAAATTAAAAAAAATCAAAAAAAAATTTGAAAAAAAAAAAACTGCCCATGCTGGCCTACCCGACTGGCGGTCAGCCTGGGAACCTTGGCTGATGAGAAATCCGGCCAAGGAAAGAAGATTGGCCGGATCAGGGACCGGCCAATCATTCAATAATGACGGGCGAGCCGGTCGGATCAGTCAGCCTGGACAGTCAGTTTTTTTTTTTAATTTTTTTTAAATAGGATTTGGAGGAAAAAAAATTTTACCGGTATCAATGGTGTTCCTTCCCGTTGTTGTGTGTATTGTTTCGCCATTTTTTTAAATTTTGATTTTTAGTAAATTTAGATTTAAAATTTGATAATAAGGAAAAAGAAGATGAAGTTGGAAAAGGAGAAAAGTAGAAAGAAGAAAAAGAAATGAGAAAGGTGAAGAAGAAAGGAGGAATAGAAAGAGTTTAAGGACAAAATCGTAAAAAATAAACTGTATGTGAGTAATTTCTGAACTGCGAAAAGTAATGTTCTAAAATTACCAACAACGAATCCTCAAAGATCACACATGAAGATCCGAAACATTTAAACACAGATCACTCATCAAGAGATACAAAATGCGAAAGGAGCCGCATAAAAGGTCGAAACGAAATAAACATCATATTGACATGCTACTTCTTGAGTAATGCATATGACATATAAAGTCATCAGTTCCACCTGCGCCTAGCAAATCTCTCACTACGTTGACATCTTGAGTGGTGCATATTGACATTTCCGATTATCACATTAAAGGGAAGGTTTGTTTGGTGCGAGAACTTCTGGATATGACATTGTGGAGAAAATCATAAATGCCTCAATCCCACAACCACCATCCCCTCCCCCTCCCAAAAAAAAAAAAGAAAAAAGAAAAAAACCCTAGTTTCTAACATCGTTCCAGACATTAAAGTCAGAAGAGGAGTCATTATAATTGACAACATTGTCCTGGCAACCAATGAAATATGTCGTCCTCGATGAATCAAGGTTTACCAAAACGTGGGCTGTTCCACGTGGACTAGCTGCAACAGCAACTTCGTCTGCACCAACTATCACCTCACCGTAGCCTCTCTCAACGAAACTATTTTCCACCTGGAAAGGTACTTAGCATAGTTAGACAAAATTGCATACTGAAGAAACTGATCAAAGTAAAAAAAGCTCCCCACCAGGGGCGAGGGGGTGAAGGAACAAAGGGTCCACATTATTGAAAAGAGGTGAAAGCGACTACAGATATATCCTTACAACAGTTATATGTATAAAAACAGAAACCAGTTTGTTCATGCGACAAAAAATAGACATAAATATTAGTTTCAGCCACAATGGAACTCGTCATTTAACAGCTTCTTGACCTACATTGAATCGACTCATTGTGCAGATTCAGGCTGAAATTCAGACCATCAACGTTATACTTTTACAAGAGGCTGTTGCCTTTACCATTGCAGCTATCAACGTATTCGAGCCTGAAGCCCTTAAAAGCCAATACTCCTTAAAAGCCAATACTCGTCCTCCTCTAGTCTTAAGTGCAGCCAGAACTGGAGCTGTACCATCAATCACAGGGTATACTCGTTTACTATTTCCAAAATGTGACGCGTGTCGGACAACAAGAAAATCTCCTTTTTTAACTATTACATTCAAACAAATTAATGTTCGGAGCAGATTATATCACCACCAGCAGAACAAGCAGTAGTGATTATCTTTGATTTCTTAGTCTGAGTGAAAAAGCTAAAGTCAACATTCTTTCTACAGCGTATCGTCTCAATCTTAACAGTCTACAAATAGAAATCGTTATGTTGTTTGTTGCTTCTATCTTGGAAAGGCAAAGTTTTTTACACAAAAAAAAATAGTAATAATAAAATTAAAAAAAGAAAAAAAAAAAAGTTAAGCAAGACATGAACATTGGGGCAAAAAAGAAAGTATCAGCAGCATGCAAAATAATGAAATCTAAATCACAGCTTACCCTGAACAAGGTTTTAGCACCCCAAATAATAAATGTCTCATTACAGAAATGGTGTCTATGGTTGCCTCTAAGACTTTGAGGTTTGATCTCACCAACATGAACTGAGGCGCAAATTGTTGCTCCCCCTGTTAAGTTACGAATACACCTTTAGTCAATAATAGCCGAATGATCTGTGAGAAGAAAAATTCAAACAAATCATGGAAAAGTTCAAACAAAACGAATAGTCAACTCAAAAGGTATCGAGAATTGAAATTAATAGCTGTCAGCATGAGAAAAGCCCTGAAATATCATGCAATGTGAATTTCGGAACCATTTCTATTAAGATGATGAGTAACACAATTGTAGTATATTCTGAGTAGTTAAACATTACTTCCAGGCCAACTAGAGTAAGGATAGACACCTGCAAAATCTGTATCCTGCTCATTGATTTTTACCTTTTTGCTTTTAGTGACCCACAAAACAGTTTCCCAGGAGTTTTCTATTTTGTATTCATTTCATCTATACGTCATATTTGTCTCCCAAACAATTTAGAAAAACCATGATATACACTTAAAATTTGGTAGTAGAGCATCCGAAATATATTTGAGCAAGGATATAGAAACTGAAATCAAATCATCACAATTGGATGACATCAAGTCACCAAGAGTTTTCAACTTAGAATCAAGAATATCTCGGGTTCCTGTGGCATTTCCAGCATCCCGATTAGCCACATTATGGTGATGGAAAGTGTATACTTGCTGACCAAGAAGGAACATCAAATCATAACATTTTGAAAATGTCAATTGAAGAAGAGTCAGCCAAACCTAAAATTACTAGTTTCCAAGTCCATCAAATTCTCTTTGAACTGATACTTGTGCAATTAATCAGAGAGTAAATTCAATGCCTCTATCTACTTATGAAACATTTATCTCAACTCATTATATTTACAACAACCATTAAACAACCATCAACTCAACATATATACATAATGCCACGCTGATAATACTTTTAGGAAACAACCAATAAACAAAGAGGGATAAACTGGTGAAACTGAAACCCACGACAAGAAAAGCTTAAATCAGTTCATTTTACAGCAAATTGGCCCCTAAAAAATAGATTTTTAACCCTAATAATGAAACTCTCCAAAAGCATCTAATGCAAAAATCCAATTAAATCACAGTTCATTTAAATAAATAAACCAACACATTTTAATAAAGAAGCCTATTCAACAGAGAGAAGTAGGGTTGGGTTCAAAGAAAGGCAAGAACTAAACCTCGAATGCCAGCCTCAAGAGCCACAGAAACAGGGTCAATTAGCCACCCTCTGTTGTCTTTCGCAAAAGTTGGTGATGTAGAAGGAAATCTCATAAGATTAGCATCCTGATCTTTAACCGCACCACTCAGTGGCATTTCCAAATTTTGGAAATTCGTCTTGGGGTGTTGAAGACGCTGAAGTCTGAGCGAAACCCAGGTGAGAAGAAGGAAAATGGAAAGAAGAAATGGGAAGGCATGGGGTTTCTTGAGGAAGAATTTGGCGGAGTTCACTAGTCTTGTGAGGTTTGTTAGTTGTGGGGTTTGGAGCTGAAATTGGGGGTTATCTGAAATAGGGAGGACATAGTTGGTGGTGGAATAAGGTGATGAAATTGATGATGATGTTCTTCTGCTCGGAGGATTCGCCATGGCAGCACTCGGAGCCGAGTTTCAGGCATTTTTCTCCATTTTCTTGGTTGTGGTATTCTACAGGCTCTGTTGAGTGAGCAAATTCGAACACCCTTAAAAAATCTGAGTTGCTTTTTTCGGTGGAAAAAAAATTGCTCATTTATAGTTGACTGGACCTTTTTGTCCTTCTCTCTCATTTTCTTCCCCTTTCTTCCTTCTCTTCCTCCTCCTTTTCCTTTCTTCTCCTCTAACTTCAAACCCAAAAACCCATCACCCAAATTTAGATTTGTAAAGATCCAAGAGCTAAAACAATGAGGGATCAAGGCAAACAACAACGGGGAAGCTCGCCCTCTATGTGAAAACCGATTATTTAGAGCTCTTTGCTTAACTACGTAGTTGAGAACAAAGATTGTATTTGCTTTGTTAAACTTTGGTTATGAAATACTTTAGTTAATAAATGATATTAAGAATTTGTTAGTAAGTATTACAAATAAAGTAAAGTAAATACTCCTTCCGTCCCATAATTATTGTCCACTTTTACTAAAATGAAAAATTTTATTTTTGGTCAAACTTAACCATATTTTATCTTAAACAACCGGATATACCCCTACATAAGTAATTGTTTAACCACTAAGATTTTATGGATAATATTTTTTATCAAGGACAAATGGGTAACTTAATCTATAAAAAGTCAAATTGGACAATAATTTTAGGACAAAATTTTTTGGGCAAAGTGGACAATAATTATGGGACGGAGGGAGTATTATTTATAAGAGACTAGATTGCGAAGAATAAAAGAATGTGTGATGTAGGTTAAGTGAATTGAAATAATAAAGATTGAGCGGGAAATTAACTAAAGGACTTAGGTAGCAAATATATTTTCGTAATTATATAAACTAACGAAAAGAAATTAGGAACGGGGATGTTCCTGAAGCTTCTCCCAATTCCTAAATCTTCTTCCTTCTTCCTGAATTCAATCGATCTTCATCTCCACCCCCTCGTCATCCTCCCATCTTGATCTTCTTCGTCCTTCTTCCAAACTTATATCTTCAACTCCTAATCAACCTTCGATTGACCCTGTCTCTCCCCAGTCACTTCTATCATCTCTGAACCCTGGCTGTAACAAATGGAAAAGGGGCAAAGGAAGACCAGCTTGGGAGCCGAAATTAAGGGAGTAGAAATGAAGAATTAAAAGGTAAATTGAAAGCATCTTTTGTTTCCTCTTCTGCTTTGATTTAAATTCTTGTCACTGTGCTTAATATCAGTCAAGAAACCTTAGTATTGGACCGATTTTTGACAAATCTGGTCCACATGAGAATGGGCTGATCGCAGCACTTTAATAGAGGGAAAATCGATTTGAAGCCCGCCTTGGTTAAAATTTGTGGATGCATCGGAGAGTGAAGAAGGCAAATCCGAAAAGGAGTCAATGACGCCGCAGTCCATATCGAGGAAGGATTCCAGTTGCAACAGGAATCCTTGCAGAATTCAACTTCTGTTGTAACCTAGCTAGGGTTGGCGGAATCAGTATAAAAGTTATGATGGAGGCACCGGGAAAGACACAACTCATTATCCAAGAATCAGAAATCATATTTCCTTTATAGCTTTGTTCTTTATAATTTTAAGCTTTTATGTATTCGTTTATGTTTCATCTTTAAACGTTGTAACTATTTCGGCGATTCAGGCTATTTAAAGCCGATTCGTTTTCATTCAATCAATAAAACAGGCTCTTGCAAGCCGTTTTATCCATTTCTTAGAATTTCTCATTATTCGGTTGAGTGCCAATTCAAAGTCATCATCCTGTTTAGGACAATTTTAGCGTTTGGTTTACGCACTTTGAGAATATCACGCAGTCGCTTGAAATTAGTTTGAGCCTAATCAGTTTCCACTATAATATACAATTTTGACTCAAACATAAAATTTGGCACGCCTGGACCGATTTACGTGTTCCAGGCGTTGTTTAAGCAGAAAAACGATGTCATTACCTCAGTCAGTAGCAACAGCACATTCGGCAGGACAGGCCTCTATGCCGAATCAGACTTCTGCATCAGGTTGATGTTCCTTGCCGATGAATATGCTTCCGAACATTTTGGCGGTGGATTCCTATTCAACAGTAATAACATATCAGTCCACTGGGAGAGGGCGACAATCCAGCCAGCAACAGTCCAATGTGGAATCAAGTCTGTTTGGAGAAAGATCGAGTTATCTCGAGTCCTATAGAACTCCAGGGTTTCAAACTCCAGCCTTTCAGAGCCCGTTCTTTCAGGTTCCTGTGTTCAGTAGCCAGGGCCAAACGAGACAGGTTCCAGTGATAACCCCTGAGATGTTGCATCAACGGTTTTCAGAAATAGAGCATACTGTGGCCACACAAGTGGAGCATTTTGAAAATGCTTTTCAGAGGCTAACTGACCATAATGCAAACACAGGAAGTGTTGGACCTAGTAGATCTATGACGTCAGGAGTTAATACGGCTACAGGAGCAACGAGTTCAGAGGTGCCACCAGTCAGTATGGTTAATAATCCTTTATATCATGCCATATTCCAGACATCTGCAACAGATACTCCGGTGCAGAATCTCGGAGCAGGACTAAGTAACAATGGATCTCACAATGCAGCATTACAAGGAATACTAAGTTGGTATTACCCAGTTGTTCCAAGTCAGCCAACTTTTGTGTCACCACCAGGGAATTTTACCTTTGATGGACGGCAGTTGCCTCCATTGTCCCCTCAATATGGAACACCAGTGATGATGCTTGGAACATCATGGGGACAACAATCACCCTATCAAGGATTCCAGGTGCCATGACCGGTGACTCCGGGAATACAACAGGTGGGAAATGCAACAAATAATACTATTGTAAGGAATGCACAAGAGACGAACCAAATCCAGTTGCAAAATGATGCATTTCCACAACAAGTTTTACCAATACAACATCAACAAGGATCAACAGTGGTTCTATCGCAACTGAGTGGACAAGAAGGTGTGTGATGAGAATCATGTAGCCATCCATGGTGATTCTCCTAGTGAGGGGAATGAGCTAGTCCTTCATTCTAGTTTTGGAATGCCAAGTTTACTTTGCAGGCCAATCAAGGAAGAAAGGATGGATCTTGACTACCTATGTGATAGGGAGTTGGTTCAAGAGAGCTATGATCAAGATGATGAGAATGTCATTAACTTTGGGGTTCAAACCAAAGGAGATGATGAACTCATGGAAATAAGCGCTCAAGAGTATCAAGGGAGTTTGACTCTAGGTGCTCCATGAAGATCATTGATCAAGCTAGTGAGAAGAGTCATTTAGGTTCTTGATGGACGGCCTATTTGATCAAAGTGTTCAAGATTGAGTCCATTGCTACACAATTGGATAGGTTGCAAACTATCTAAATTGTTTCAAGTGTTTTTCCAATCTTTTAGAGTCAATAAAGAGAATTCTACAAGTTTTGGAGTAAATTGGAGTTTTCTACAACTTGAGGGGCGCAAGACCAATATTCCACTTTGGAAGGGCGTTCAAGACATTTTACTTCAATAATTTGGAGCTGATTTTCGGATTTAGAGGTTGTCTAAGTCTAGGAGTTATTTTCAAAATTTTATCTAGTTAAATAAGTCATGTGGACTGAATTAAACTAGAGTGTTTTGATTAGGAGTCTTAGATTCCTTCTAGATATTATCCTATTTGAGGATAAGTCATTTAGATAAGGTTTTCTAGATTTTAGATAGAGTCAAAGAGATCAAATACTCTTCTACTTCTACTTCTTGTGAGATAAGATTAGAGAGTCCTAATTGATCTTCTTTTCTTGGTGCTGGCCGAATTTCTTAGCCTATAAATAGGGGGGATGGCCGAAATTTCAAAGCACCCTTGAGTGGTCATTTTTGTTGTCTCTTTTGAGAGTTTTTCCTGTGAGGAATTTTTGTTAAATGGAGTGTCCATTTTTCGTGTCAAGTATGATTTAACCAAGAGGGTTTTCATCTTGTCTTGGATCTTTTGATCTTGCAGAAACCGTTCTTTTTCAAGTATGTTTCTTGATAGAATTGTTTTAAAACAAAATTTCTTATTTTCATACTACTTCTAGTAGTTCGATTGATGAGCCTTTCTTTTGAATTCATGATGTGTGTGTTCATGAGTTCCATTGTGGGGTTTGTCCTGCTTTTGTTGGATAAATTGTGCTTTGGCATAAGCATTTTGAGATAGTGTATGTGTTGCATATCTTTGTTGGTTATGGAAATTACTAATCAATAGTATTCCTTCATAGTTGAGCATTGTTTGCTCCTACCTTTCTTGAGTCTCTTGAATGATGACTGATCGAGTATATTGAATGGTGCCCTTGCTATTCTTAGTGTGGGTTATTGTTTAATTCAAATCTTTCATAATAATGTGTTCTTTGCTTGGTTTGAGTTAAGAGATAGAAATCACTTAGATAAATGATCGTCTTACTGTGAATTTTCCGCACTCTTTTGAGTTTCACGAGATAGACAAATTATCTTCGTACTTTCTTGTTTGATGGTTGCATTAATGAAATTTGCTTCATCTACGAGATTGCTATCAGTGTGCCTAGACTAACGTACATACCATACGGAACAGCAGATGTAGGTGTCCTAGGAACTGCGGGTGTAACAATTAATCAAGGCCCTGTTGGTATGGGAAACAATGAAGGTACTGTTGGTGAAAATGCAAGGCAGGCTCGTCAACACGTACAAACGACAAATGACTGCTGCTTTATATTTTATCAGAACCGAGTACCAAGAAATAATACTGCAGCTGCAAATTTGGATGATCCACACATACCTCAAGGCTCTGGTGTTGTGGTTGTTGATCCGCAAATTGTTCTACCTCATCAGACATTGGAAGAGAATAGAGAGGAACAACAGTGGATGGAATATGAAGCAAATCAGATTCTAAACCAAAATAGGGCGCAAGCTATTGGAAGATAGATCGGAAATCAAAATTTGCGAAATAGACACAACCCACGTCACCAGCGTTTATGGGGCCAAAAAAAAAGAGGTGGTCGTCATCGGGTTGATCTTGGTAACGAAGTTCGACAAGAACCGGACGGAGCAGTGAACGATAATCAGCAACAGAGTTTACAACATCAAGGTTTGCATACAGAAGTTCTTCCGATGCAACAACGAGTGCCCGTCCATACAAGATTGGGGAATACCATTGTCAGCCCTAGGGCTAACTCGCCATATCACGTTCATAATAGAAGACCATCTATGTGGCAACGGATTCAGCGTCCCAGCCAAAGGGACAATACAGAGTCCAGGTCAGTTAGAGCAGCATTCGTGAATGATAGAGAATGGCATTGCGTTGTTCATCCCAAGTTCCCTACTCCACCATTAAGGAAAGAAAAGATGACCAAGACACAGAAAGGACGATGGCAAAGGGCTATGAATAAACAAAATAGGGATGCATCAGGAAAATTAGGCACGGTTCAAGAGGAACAATCCCCATTTTCCCAGCAAACGTCAATGAATAAGTTTTCAGGGCAGGAAGATAGACGGTCACAATTGTGAGGGAAAGTGGATACGTTCTTCCCACCAGTAAACATGATTTATATGTTACCGAAAACTTTTTGTTTGAAAGAACCTGCAACTGCAACAACTATCATCCCCAAAGCTGTTGCAGACACATTGGCTATTCCTGAAGCGACTTCATTTGTAATAGAACCACATGACGCTACAGTTGGTGATATTCACCTACTATCTCAAGAAGGGAAAGGCCCGGTCATAGTGCTCTCTCAGCCAGCCGAGAGCTCTGGGACTCACATTCGGCCATTATATATTTGCGCCATCATGGATGGAGTACCATTGAAATGCGTGTTAGTGGACAATGGTGCAACAATTAATATCTTGCCTACAAGAGCTTTACAGAGATTAGGCAAGCAACTCAAGGATTTAGTGCCAACTGAAGTTTTTGTTAGCGGATTTACAGGAGACGTTACAACTGCTAAAGGAATTTACCATGGTAAGTGGAGGTAGGATCACAAGTGGTGGTATCGGCATTCTTTGTAGTTGACACTAAAGCATCTTACAATGTTCTTTTAGGGCGCGACTGGATCCATTCAGCAAGATGTATTCCTTCTTCATTACATCAAGCGATTATTATATGGGGAATAGATGGACCAGAAATCATAGCTGCCGATGCAAGTCCATTTGCAGCTCAAGCTAATGCTGTAGAGGCTTATTATTACGACTGTGAATTAGGTCCATACCGTCTTGTTAGGATGGATAAGTATGGTCGGCCACAACAGGCCACTAAGCGTCGTGATATGAGTCTTCCAGAGTGGAAATTGCTTTTATAAGAAGTCAGCAGGCCATACAATTACAACGTGTCAAGGCTGTTGCCAGCTACTCTGTCTATTGAAGAAGTATCTAATGAAGACAATTCAATAGTTAAGTGTTATGGATACAATGGAGTTAGATCAAGAATTGTTGCAAGCAAAGGAAAAGCAAGCCGCCATCAAGTGTGTGTTGCAGTATTTTGAGAATGAGCGTCAACATCAAACTGAAATGCCTACGGTACGTTGGGATGAAGTAATTTATGATGCAGATCCAGTTTAGATAGTGACGTCATTGATTTGAATGAATTGGCTACTGCAACGCCAAAGTTAAGTGATGAGGCGGTTGTTACCAAAGAACCAGTCGAAGCAGTAAATTTAGGATCATCTGGCGAGGAGAAGCCCACTTATATCAGTTCTTCCTTATCCGCCGATGACAAGAAGTCACTAGTTGATCTTTTGAAGCAGTACCGTGATTGTTTCGCTTGGGACCATATGGAAATGTCGGGTTTAGATCGAATTTTGGTAGAACACATCCCTTTGAAAAAAGGTTTCAAGCCATTCAAACAACCGCCAAGGAGGTTTTCAGAAGATGTGGTCAACCAGGTGAAAGAAGAGATTGAACATTTATTGGTAGTTGACTTTATTGAAGTTGCAGTATGTGTTGAATGGTTATCTAATGTGGTCCCCGTTATCAAGAAAAATGGCAAAACCAGGGTCTGCACGGATTTCCGTAACCTTAATCTGGCATCTCCCAAGGATGAGTATCAAATGCTGAATGCGGAAACATTGGTTGACAGGTTGATGGGTTTTCAAGTCATGAGTTTTGTTGACGGCAAGGCTGGATATAACCAAATTTTCATAGCTCCTGCAGATGTTCATAAGACTGCTTTTCGTGCGCCAGGATCCTTAGGCATTTTTCAGTGGAAGGTTATGCCATTTGGATTAAAGAATGCCGGAGGAGTGTACCAAAGGGCAATGAACTGCATCTTTCATGATCTCATCGGAAAGGTTCTGGAGGTATACATAGATGATGTAGTGATGAAATTACATTCCTTTGGGGATCACTTACAACATATGCGTTAGTGTTTTGAGTGTATTAAGAAGTATAAACTAAAGTTGAACCCATTGAAGTGCACATTCGCTGTTTCCTTAGGTGTGTTCTTGGGATTCTTAGTACACTCCAGGGGTATTGAAATTGATGCAGAAAAGGCTAAAGCAATCATTGAAGCTAGGCCTCCAAAGACAAAGAAAGAGTTACAGAGCTTAATCGGCAAAGTTAATTTCCTTCGCCGATTCATTTCAAACCTGTCGAAGAAGTTGAAACCTTTCTCTCCACTTTTAAAAGTGCAATCTGCAACAGATTTTGTGTGGGGTAACGCGGAACAACAAGCTTTTCAGGATATTAAACAAGCTTTATCAACTCCTCCAGTAATGGTCCCACCAACATTGGATAAACCTTTAAAGCTATATTTGTCAGCAACAGAAGAGTCGTTGGGTTGTTTGTTAGCACAAGATGGTCATGACGGATTCGAAAGAGCTATATACTACCTGAGTAGAATGCTTACAGACACTGAACGCAGGTATCCACCGATTGAAAAGCTTTGTTTAGCGTTGTATTTCGCTGTGACTAAGTTGCGGCATTATATGCTTTCGAGACTAGTCTGTGTTATTAGTAAAATCAATCTTGTCCGTTATATGTTGCATCGACCAATGATGAGTGGCAAAATTGGAAAATGGATCTTGGCTTTGATGGAATATCAATTTCAACACGTACCGCAATCAGCAGTGAAAGGGCAATTGTTAGCAAATTTCCTGGCCGCACACCCATCACTTTACAATGATTGGGATAGCGAGTTCCTTAGTACTTTTCAAGCGCATCAACTAGAAACTCCTATGTGGATAGTACATTTCGATGGCTCAAGAACTTTTCAACGTAGTGGCACAGGAATAGTGCTTACACCTTCGTTTGGACCAAAATAGCGATGTCAAGTTCAATTAAGTTTCAAAGCTACACATAATCAAGCTGAGTATGTAGGATTAATTCATGCACTTGAGACGCTTCTATATAATGGTGCAAATCATGCAAAGGTCATCGGAGATTTTGCCTTAGTCGTTGGCCAAATGAAAAAATTAATGGAACGAAGTAATGAAGTCATGGCCAAATATGCAGCAGTTGGAGATATGTTAGCTGCCCGATTCCAGCATATTGAGTTTTATAACGTTGAAAGAGGATTCAATGTAGAAGCAAACGATATGGCACAATTAGCATCCGAGTATCTTAAAGTGCCATTGGGACCAGACATTGCTTATGACACGGTTGATTTCGATACTCCTGCATATGCCAGATATCCGTTGATTTCAGAATTTTCTGTTACAACAGTTACTACAGCAGAGGATTGGCGAATGGAATTATCAGGTTTTTGCAAGACCCGACACACGTTACACCTATCTGGAGATAAGCGCCCAACTACATGTTGTTGCAAGGGCAGCTGTATCGTAAAAACAGCTGATGAAGTATTCCTTCGATGTTTGGGAAAACCAGAGTCCATGGTCTTGATGTTAGAAACACATGAGGGTTTTTGTGGCACTCACTAAGGAGGCAAGAAGATGGCATGGCCACTTCACCGCTAAGGTTATTTTTGGCCAACTATGATTCTGGATTGTATAAATTTTGCCAGAGGGTGTGTAGCTTGTCAAAAACGTGATGATGTTCCACATACACACCCGGAACCAATGCAATTTATAGTCAAACCATGGCCATTCTGGTCTTGGGCCCTTGATGTTATTGGCATGATTCATCCACCTTCTTCTGCTAAACACCGATATGTTCTAGTTGCAACAGATTATTTTACTAAGTGGGTGGAGTCAATTCCTTTAAATGATATAGATGAGAAGGCCGTTATCAGTTTCATCAAAGAATATATCATCTACAGGTTTGGTTTGCCGGAAAAAATCATCACAGATCAAGCCCAATACTTTACCGGTCAAGATATGATGTAGTTTGCAAAGGATATGGGTTTTACCCTAACTCATTCTTCTCCTTATTTTGCTCAAGGTAATGTCAAGCGAATTGACAAACAAAATCTTGAAAGGAATCATACAGAAAACGAAGTGCTGCATCAAGCTTTATGGGCTTATCGGGTAACACAAAGAAGCAGTACAAAGGCAACCCCATATGAGTTGGTCTATGGGCATGATGCCGTGTTGCCTGTCGAAACACTACTCCCTTCCTTTCGAATTGAGCAACAGTCTCCTTTGGATTCCGCCGACTATGCAACAGCTATGCTAATTGATCATGACAAGTTGGCCCATTGCCGCAACATAGCAGTGGCGAATATAATTCACCAGAAAAAGGGGGTCATCTGGGCTTACAACAAGTTTGTCAGGTATAAGCATTTCAATATCGGCGCAATGGTGTGGAAAGCAATCTTACCTTTAGGGCACAAGGATCGTGTTTATGGCAAATGGAGCCCCACCTGGGAGGGCCCTTATATAATTCATCAACATTTAGGCCGGGGTGTCTATGTTTTGAAAGATCTTGACGGAACAATCGCAGATAGATCCATCAATGCATCATATTTGAGCAAGTACTTTGATACCGCTTGGCATCACTCAGCACTGAAGAACAACAGTTAGCAAGAGATATTGCAG